CCCCCTCACCTCTCCCTCCTCTCCCCTCCTCTCCCCTCACCTCTCCCCCTCTCTCCCCCCTCACCCTCCCCTCCACCCCTCCCCTCACCCCTCCCCCCTCACCTCTCTCCCTCACCCCCTCCCCCTCACTCTCCCCTCACCTCTCCCCTCACCTCTCCCCTCCCTCTCTCCCCTCACTCTCCCCCTCCTCTCCCCTCACCTCTCCCCCCCTCTCTCCCTCCCCTCTCTCCCTCACCTCTCTCCCTCACCTCTCCCCTCTCTCCCCCTCACCTCTCTCCCCTCACCCCTCCCCCTCACCCCTCTCCCCTCACCCCTCTCCCCTCCCCACCTCTCTCCCTCACCCCTCTCCCTCACCCCTCTCCCTCACCTCTCTCCCCTCACCTCCCCCTCCACTCTCCCCCCTCTCTCCCCCCCTCCACCTCTCTCCCTCACCTCTCCCCCTCCACCCCTCTCTCTCCCCTCCCCTCACCTCTCTCCCTCACCCCTCCCCACCTCTCCCTCACCTCTCCCCCCTCACCTCTCTCCCTCACCTCTCCCCTCCACCTCTCTCCCCTCACCTCTCCCCCCTCACCCCTCTCTCCCCTCACCTCTCCCCTCACCCCTCCCCCTCACCTCTCCCCCTCCCCTCCCCCCTCCTCTCTCCCCCCCCTCACCTCTCTCCCTCACCTCTCTCCCTCACCTCTCTCCTCCACCTCTCTCCCTCACCTCTCTCCCCTCACCTCTCTCCCCTCACCTCTCTCCCTCACCTCTCCCCCCCTCACCTCTCCCCCCTCACCTCTCCCTACCTCTCCCCCTCACCTCTCTCCCCTCACCTCTCTCCCTCCACCTCTCCCCCTCCCCACTCTCCCCTCACCTCTCCCCTCACCTCTCCCCTCACCTCTCTCCCTCCCACCTCTCTCCCCTCCCTCTCTCCCCTCCCTCTCCCTCACCTCTCTCCCTCACCTCTCCCCTCCCCTCTCTCCCTCACCTCCCCTCCCACCTCTCTCCCCTCACCTCTCCCCCCTCCCCTCTCCCCCCTCACCTCTCCCCCTCATCTCCCCTCACCTCTCCCCCTCACCTCTCCCCCCTCACCTCTCCCCTCCACCTCTCTCCCTCACCTCTCCCCCCTCCCTCTCTCCCTCACCTCTCTCCCTCACCTCTCTCCCCTCACCTCTCTCCCTCACCTCTCCCCTCCCACCTCTCCCCCACCTCCCCCTCACCTCTCTCCCTCACCTCCCCCCTCCCTCTCTCTCCCCTCACCTCTCCCCTCACCTCTCCCTCACCTCTCTCCCTCACCTCTCACTATCAATAATTCTCTCGACCCAAAATCCGAAAACCAAAACTCATTGACAAGTTATGATTACCTTGTGAGAGAGAGTGAGAGAGAGTGAGAGAATAGAGAGAGAGAGAGAGAGAGAGAGAGAATAGAGAGAGAGAGAGAGAGAGAAGAGAGAGAAGAGAAGAAGAGAGAGAGTGTTCTTGACAGATGAATAAGGAGAAATCAGTCATGTGTTGGATCAGAAGCCCTCTCTCTCTCTCTCTCTCTCTCTCTCTCACCACTCACTTAAATGAGACGCATTCACTAGTACTGAAAAGACGGGGCCTAAAGTAACCCTGTCTGTCTGCCTGTCTGTTTATCTCTGTCTGTCTGTCTGTTTATCTCTCTGTCTGTCTGTCTGTTTATCTCTGTCTGTCTGTCTGTCTATCTCTCTGTCTGTCTGTCTACAATAATAATAATAATACATACACACAAACATAATAAATTAAAGGGAGGGAAGGAGCAGCTCAGAAACAGGTATAATAAACTATCTAGGAATGTTAAGGAAAATGTAAGGAAAGCAAAGAGGGACTATGAAGTCAGGATAGCAAGAGAATCCAAGGCGAATCTCAAGGGATTTTTCCAGGTATATAGGACAAAGGTCAAGGACAAAGTTGGGCCTTTAAAGTCAGGGAGGGGGGAAGTGATCAATGGTAGTGGAGAAACAAGCAGGGCATTGAACAGCAGCTACTTATCAGTTTTCACATAGGAAATTTGCGATGAAATTCCAGAGGTGGAACTGATATTTAAGGGAAATAAAGAAGAGAAATTAAAGAATATCACTATCAGAAAAGAGGATGTTCTGAAGAAGATAAATAAACTAAAGAATACAAAATCCCCAGGGCCGGATGAAATTTTTCCTGAGTCTTGAAAGAGTGTAGGGAACAGATTAGCGGACGAGTGGAACAAGCTTAGCAACTATGTAGTAAGTGCTGGAATGCTGGAAAGTTTTAAAAGGAGGCTAGATAGGGTGGTGGACGAGTGGAACAAGCTTAGCAACCTTGTAGTAAGTGCTGGAACGCTGGAAAGTTTTAAAAGGAGGCTAGATAGAATTGGTGGACAGGTGGAACAAAAGCAGCAACCTTGTAGTAAGTGCTGGAACGCTGGAAAGTTTTAAAAAGAAAGGAGGCTAGATAGAATTGGTGGACGAGTGGAACAAGCTTGCTTAACTTTGTAGTAAGTGCTGGAACGCTGGAAAGTTTTAAAAGGAGGCTAAGATAGGGTGGTGGACAGGTGGAACCAGCTTAACTTTGTAGTAAGTGCTGGAACGCTGGAAGGATTTTAAAGAGGAGGCTGAATAGGGTGGTGGACGGAAGTGCAACAAGCTTGGCAACTTTGTAAGTAAGTGCTGGAACTGGAAAGTTTTAAAAAGGAGAGGAGGCTAGATAAATTGGTGGACAGTGCAACAAGCAGCAACTTTTGTGAAAGTAAGTGCTGGAACCTTTGGAAAGTTTTAAAAAGGAGGCTAGATAGGGTGGTGGACAGGTGGAACAAGCTTAGCAACTTTGTAGTAAGTGCTGGAACGCTGGAAAGTTTTAAAAGGAGGCTAGATAGGGTGGTGGACGAGTGGAACAAGCTTAGCAACCTTATAGTAAGTGCTGGAACGCTGGAAAGTTTTAAAAGGAGGCTAGATAGGGTGGTGGACGAGTGGAACAAGCTTAGCAACCTTATAGTAAGTGCTGGAACGCTGGAAAGTTTTAAAAGGAGGCTAGATAGGGTAGTGGACGAGTGGAACAAGCTTAGCAACTTTGTAGTAAGTGCTGGAACGCTGGAAAGTTTCAAAAGGAGGCTGGATAGATTCATGGATGATAGAGAGTGGGAGTAACTCTCGACAGGAGCTGCCATGAACAGGTCAACTGGCCTATTGCAGACTCCTTATGTTCTTATACATACATACATACATACATACATACAGGTGGCACATACATACATACATACATAAGATCAACAGTTTTAAACATAATCTTTCATCTTTTAATTCCATTTTTTTTTCATTTTACCCCAAAAGTTTTAGATATTTTTTTTAAGACTTTTTCATATTTTTCGGTATTTTTTTTATTTTCTGTTTTATTATTATTATTATTATTATTATTATTATTATTATTATTATTGTTGTTATTGTTATTGTTATTATTATTATTATTATTGTTATTGTTATTATCATCACCACGAAAGACAGACAGACAGACAGACAGACACAGACAGACAGACAGACAGATAAGAGGTGAGATAGTGAGATAGGTGTCAGGGTGAGAGACACAGTGAGACATCTACTGAGAGAGACAGAGAGAGGGGGGGTGAGTGTATGACGTTGAGTGAGAGGGAATTAGAGTGAGGGTGCTTGTGTGAGTGAGTGAGAGGGAATGAGAGGGAATGAGAGGGCTCAGGAGGTACGGCATTCAAACGTTCCTCTGGTGGAGAGAGAGAGAGAGAGAGAGAGAGAGGAAGGAGAAATAATAAAAGTTATCTCACAAAAGCAAAATTTATCACAAAACTTTGGCCAGAAAAAGAGAGAGAGAGAGAGAGAGAGAGAGAGGAAAACAAACCAACAGCTTTAATTCATATTTTTATTCACATCAAAAACACAAACTTCAATTAATTTTATTTTGGTCATAAATTAAATAAAAACATTTAATTTTTTAACAATAATCAATTTTTTTAACTCGATAAAATAAAAACTTTGAAAACTTTGGAAAAAAATATAGTTATTTATATATTGGAATTTGGTTAGGTTAGGGTTTGGTTAGAGTTTGGTTAGGGTTAGGTTAGGTTTGGTTAGAGTTTGGTTAGGTTTTGGTTAGGTTTGGTTAGGTTTTGGTTAGGTTTGGTTAGGTTTGGTACCACACACTCCAAAGGTATTTAATATTCCTCTTTCCAAAGGTCCAGATTTAGCCTCGGGATGCACTTAGACTCACAGGCCACGAGCGGGTTGAAGGGACTCAGAACTTCCATTGACCAGCGTTGAACTTGAGTCAATTCCCTTACATTATCGCAGAGAATTCGAGAGAAGGAGACTTGTTGTAGTTCTCTCAGTTGACCTATGGCAGGGAGAGAGATAGTGAGAGATAGTGAGAGAGACAGAGAGAGATAGTGAGAGAGATAGAGAGAGAGAGAGAGAGGAAAGAAAATTTTTTTTTCATATATACACACTGTCTCTCTCTCTCTCTCACCCACCCACCCACACCCCACACCCCACCTCCCCACTCATCCCCTCCCACTCATCCCCCTCATCCCCACCCCTCCCCACTCATCCCCACCCCTCCACTCATCCCCACCCCTCCCCTCTCCCACCCCCCCCTCATCCTCATCCCACCTCCCCACCCCTCCCCTCCCATCCCCTCCCCTCATCCCCACCCCTCCCCACTCATCCCCACCCCTCCCCCACTCACTTACCTACAGTAAAAGCACCAGGCGAATCACCATACTCAAACCAGTATCGATCACCAATTTTGGCTCTAACGAATTGATCCGCTAAGATGCAGGCAAAAGTCGGCCCCACGGCGCCACCTGAGACGTGTTTCTCCGCCAGGGCTCCTACGAATAGGTCTATGTCCTCAACTTTCCTGGAGGGAGGGAGGGAGGTTAGGTAGGGAGGTAGGTTAGGTTAGGTTAGGTAGATAGGTAGACAGATAGACAGACAGACACACGTAAAATATCCCCCCCCCGCCAAATCTGTCTAATTTTTGTCTTCTCAGGTAATGAATTATTTGACAGGTGAAAGTGCTGCAGGTAGTTCTTAATTAACCTGTATTAATGAGGGTTAGGGTTTGGTTAGGGTTTGGTTAGAGTTTGGTTAGGGTTTTGGTTAGGTTAGGTTGGGGTTAGGTTAGGGTTGGTTAGGTTAGGTTAGGTTAGGGTTGGTTAGGTCCCTCTCTGTACCTTAACTATCACTCACCTGTACACCTTCTTGAGACTCTCCAACACCTTAGCTTCAATATCAGGTGTTAGGTCATCAAAACTCTTCACAGGTGTCAGACCACAAGCCATTCTGTGCCTGACGTATCCTGGAATCCCATGATCACGACCACGTTGTATGTTCAGGGCCAGAAGGTCAAGCCCGAACTGTTTCATGCCGCGAAACAGCTTCCCTGAGACCTGCAAAAACATAAGTAGGGTTAAATTGAGCTATTTTAACCTAATTTAGCTTATTCTGACGTGATCTGACCTAATCTGACGTATTATGACCTCAGTTGACCTGACCCTAACTGTTTCATGCCACGAGACATCTTCCATTTGACCTGAAAAAAACATAAGTAGGGTTAAATTGAGCTATTTTAACCTAATTTAGCTTAATCTGACCTGATCTAACCTAATCTGACGTATTATGACCTCAGCTGACCTGTTCTGACATGACCTAACCAAACCTAAACGACTGTCAATGAACCAATCACTCACCTCTTTAGACGCGCCACTCCTGACCTTGCCCGCTGATTGGCTCATGGCTCCTCTCGTTAACCGCTCAGGTGTGCCAGGTAGGTACAGAGGGAACGGGTCAAATAATACACTGCTGTAGTCACGACTTCTTGTGCCCCCATCCTTGGCTACTTCCATCAAGATATCCTGTATGAGAAGAACTTTTTATGTAAGTCGTAAAACACACACACACACACACACACACACACACACACACGCACGCACACACTTACAGTAACTTGCGTGTGGCCGAATCTAAAGGCACCTGTAGCGAACTCAGTAGTGATGGAAGGGTCAATATTCTCATTGTAATCAGTCGTTTGATGGCCGTCTGTACCTGTGTTGAGTCCAGCTGCTTCCATGAGTCGGGGGCCTGTTGAGTACATGACAGGTGTGTTACAGGTGTGTTATAGGTGCTACAGGTGTTATATTGGTTTGTTATAGGTGTATTACAGGTGGGTACAGGTGTATTGAATTCATTTATGACTTGTGTAAATATTTGGATTAGTTTGTGAGAAATACACTCTCTCTCTCTCTCTCTCTCTCTCTCTCTCTCTCTCTCTCTCTCTCTCTCTCTCTCTCTCTCTCTCTCTCTTTCTCTCTCTCTCTCTCACTCTCTCTCTCTCTCTCTCTCACTTATCACTGGAGGCAGGTATTCATTATAGGTCACTTGTTGAAGTTCTCCCACGAGAATTCTCTTCGCCTCTTGAAATATTCTCTCATCGTTCCAGTGAGCGTTGAGCTTCGCCAGTATCTTCGCCAGGCGGTTGTGTTCTCTCGCCCACACTGCCGTTACTACCACCAGCATAATTTGTTCGTTCACTCGTCCATCGCCTGACGAACATGAGAGTTTGGTTAGGTTTTGGTTGGGTTTTCGTTAGGTTTGGTTAGGGTTAGGTTAGGTTTGGTTTGGTTAGACTACGTTAGGTTCGGTTAGACTACGTTAGGTTTGGTTAGATAGATAGAGAGAGAGACAGAGAGAGAGAGACAGAGAGAGAGAGAGACAGAGGGACACTTACCCGCCTTAAAACAGAACTCTCCCTTGGCGCTCAGTTCAGGCACATTACAGCCACTTAAGTTCTTGTTGGGGCTCAGGAGCTCAGTACCGTCTCTTGATAACTGTAGGTGAGAGATCGTGAGATATAATGGTGGTGGGTTGAGACAGGCAGAGACAGACAGACAGACAGACAGACAGAACCTCACCTGAGTTTTCAGTAGTCCATTCTGAAAAGTTCTCAGTTCAGCAGTTTCCTTCAGTGAGTTCCCGTAGATGCTTTCGCCGTCTATATACGAGTTAAGCTGATTTAGGTGTTGTCTTGGCCCTGAGGAGAAAGATTTATGTGTTATTTGACCGGGAATTTGTGTTATTTTACCGGGATTGTGGGTTATTTTGCCGGGATTGTGGGTTATTTTGCCGGGATTGTGGGTTATTTTACCGGGATTGTGGGTTATTTGACCGGAATTGTGGGTTATTTGATCGGGAATTTGTGTTATGTGATCGGGAATGTGGGTTATTTGACCGGAATTGTGGGTTATTTGATCGGGAATTTGTGTTATGTGACCGGGATTGTGGGTTATTTGACCGGTAATTGTTGGGGTTATTTTAAGAGGTATTTGCTTTTGTTTTACAGGGGGTTTTAAGTTATTTTAACGGCATTGAAGTTGTTTTCTCGTGGTTTTATGAAATTTGGGTTATTTTACCGGGAGTTTGTGACAATTGAAGTTATTTTACCGGGAGTTTGTGACAATTGAAGTTATTTTACCGGGAGTTTGTGACAATTGAAGTTATTTTACCGGGAGTTTGTGACAATTGAAGTTATTTTACCGGGATTTTATTGTTAATTAACACGTATATACTGGTCATTTAATTTTTACTTCCTTAATATACCAACACCTGTGTATACTTCGATAAGGTACACCTGCATACACACCTGTAGACGCACCTGTACACCTGCATACACACCTGTAGACGCACCTGTACACCTGCATACTCACCTGTAGACGCACCTGTACACCTGCATACTCACCTGTAGACGCACCTGTACACCTGCATACTCACCTGTAGACGCACATGTACACCTGCATACTCACCTGTACACGCACATGTACACCTGCATACTCACCTGTCGACGCACCTGTACACCTGCATACTCACCTGTAGACGCACCTGTACACCTGCATACTCACCTGTAGACGCACCAATACACCTGCATAATCACCTGTACACCTGTATACTCACCTGAACACCCACCTGTACACCTGTATACTCACCTAAGGTACATCTGTCGGCAGGTAAGGACCGCACAAACTCCATACAGGTGACTCCGTAAGGGGTGTAGAAGGCGTCGGGGGAGGTGATGCCGATAGGGGCGCATTGAGGGTGTAGGGGGTGCCTGAAGTCCTGCCCCGCCTCCCGACAGCAGGGTATTGTACTGCCGTTGACTCCTGTATCGTAGAGTGAAGTTAGTACACACACACACACACACACACACACTGTACACACACACACACACACACCTGTACAAACTTACCTTTACTCATTGGAGTCTCTGTCAGGTCGTGCTCCAGGAACTGTCCAAAGCTCATGTGGAGAATATTTAGACAGGAGGGCTGACCAGATGAGAGAGGTTAGTTAGGTTAAAGCTAGGAGTTACTTATAAACATTTAAGTTATGGTAAAATATTTCGTGATTTTTGATGATAATAAATTAGATGTAAAGTAACTTAGAAATGTGTGTGTGTGTGTGTGTGTGTGTCTGTACTCACCTGTAGGTTGACAGTAGTACTCACTAGACGGGCATTTGGCAACTGTTACCGTCTGATGCCCTCTAATGACTTCACACCTGTAATTAGTGAGACAGGTGTTATGGCCAGGTGTAATGACTTGTACACAGACACACACACACCTCACACACACTGGCAGCACCACACACCAACCCGCCCCCTGCCTCCTGCCCCCCACCCATCCCCACCCTTCCCCACCCATCCCCACCCCTTCCCCCACCCATCCCACCCTTCCCCACCATCCCCACCATCCCCACCCATCCCCCACCCTTCCCACCATCCCACCCTTCCCACCATCCCACCCTTCCCCCACCATCCCCACCATCCCCACCCATCCCCACCCTTCCCCACCCATCCCCCACCCTTCCCCACCATCCCACCCTTCCCCCCCACCCATCCCCCACCCTTCCCCACCCTTCCCCACCCTTCCCCCCCCCCCACTCACCATCACCAAAATCTGAAGCCACGAGGCGTATAAAAGGCGTAAAACTCGCCCTTTCTCCTGGTTTGGCAGATTATTACAGCTGCCATCTTGGTTCCTATACGGTTGCTCGGGGCTACAAGCTTCTCTAGTCAGCTTAATTCTCTCCTCCTCACACTGCTTAGGAGCCTCGAAGCTTTGGATGTCGAAGTTAAGCTGAATCTTGTCCAGGTTGAATCTGAGGGAGTTGGGGTGGTAGTGGTAGTGGTGGTGTTAGGGTCGTGTAGGAGAGACAGACAGACAGACAGACAGACAGACAGACAGACAGAGTGTGTATGTAATAATATACCCAGTATGAGGCAGATATTGACAGACACAATTAGACAGAAATAGACAGAACTCGACAAAATGGACAGAAATAAAGAAAAAATTTACAGAAATAGACAGAAATAAATCAAAAAATAGACCTAAATAAAAATATACACAAAAATTAGACAGAAAATTCACTTACATCAGCAATTCTCTGAGTACAGTAATCAATAACATGACCCGTATGAGAGAGCTCTTTTGACGTCATCTTGTACTCATTATTTAAAGCTTGATGTGAGTACGATGCTGAGTCCTTCTGTAGATGGAGTCTTTCTTTCATCATTATCTCTTCAAGTTCTCTCTGTGTCTGAAATAGAGAGAGCGTGGTGGTAAGCTATAAGGTGAAGAGAGAGAGAGGGAGAGAGAGACAGATTATTATTGATATTTTTAAATAACGAAAATTCATCCTCTCCTCTCTCTCTCTCTCTCTCTCTCTCAAAACAAGCCTTGGAATACATCAACACATCCTAACACTCAGAACACATCCCTAATACTCAGAACACACTCAGAACACATCCCTAATACTCAGAACACACTCAGAACACATCCCTAATACTCAGAACACACTCAGAACACATCCTAATACTCAGAACACACCAGAAACACATCCTAATACTCAGAACACACTCAGAACACATCCCTAATACTCAGAACACACTCAGAACACATCCCTAATACTCAGAACACATCCCTAATACTCAGAACACACTCAGAACA